CCTGGAGGCCGCAAGAGCCCAGTGCTGAAGGCGTAATGAAGGACGTCGGGGATCTGCTTCCGGAGAGTTATTGAGGGATGAGACGATGGGGTGCTGATGCATCAGGGGTCGCAGAATATGGGGTGGGCTCCGAAATTGGGGATACATTGGGTCCTTATTAGAAGGGGATCCTACTATTTGGGGGTTTGGATGAGGGGCCCCCACCATCGTAAACCCCCCCCAATAACTTCAGGATTAAATGAAAGTTTGTGCGTCTTCAGGGTACTGGTGGCATCTTGAGACTGCCTTTTTGGTTGGGCAGTCGTCACGAAGAGGCTTTATATGCATAAGTTTACGAGTTTGCTCGGGGGTTCTGCGTAGATGGCGGCCGCCAACTGAAAGAAGCACTGTAGTTGGTGTAAGGTCATGTTGCAGATATCAGCAGAAATCGCTCAGCACCTGGGCAAACAAACCCCTACAACTACCCTAATACGAGAGGCAGCATCGTAGTTTGTAGGCTGGTTCCTTCGAGGGTTTTGTGCAGGAGCCTCTGCGTGCCGGGATGCAGGTTAGGGTTCAGTTCAAAGTTTCCCGCAACGATGCTCCATCGCACAGCTCCACGGCGTTGAGGCAGTGGACTCCGAACGGCCTAAACCCGGCATGAGCCACCCCTGACTGGAGAACGCCCCCGACACGACCAGACAGCTTTTGTGTATGCATTTGTTTCTCCGTATGTTTGCATAATTGTGCATATATATATATATATGTATATATATAGTAGCCCTATCAGGCCTGGACACCCAAGAATCCAACCATGACCTTCTTCCCCGAACCTCGGTACGCCCCCAAGGCATGAGCCTGTCAACCCACCGACTCCTGAAAGCCTCATTTAGAAGCTCAAATCCCCGAAGGCCTACACCCTAACCCTAAACCCTAAACCCTAAACCCTAAACCCTAAACCCCACTCCCAATAGAGCATCCAGATCCGGAGGATCTTGACGCTTTGCAAGCCATGCTCAACTCCTTGGGAAGCAAACCAGGTCACCTTCTAGAGGCGCGGGGCTTGGAATGTGCCCTTTGAGGGTTTAGGGTTTAGGGTTTAGGGGCTCGGACTTAGACTAGTCTCAGCTACTGTGGCCAAGTGGCGCAACAAAGTGCGCCATGCAAGAGGTTCACTCGGACGTAAAACACATGCTTCCTTCGTGTTCAGCACCGGGTGGTAATTAGCACAACCTCGGCTAGGCGCGCAGCGCAGACCATGCGCCAGCATCTGAACCTAACGGAGACTCCAACAAGTGCAGACGTCAGCCCGCACCCCCATCAGCTTCAAGCCGAAATGCCACGGCTCCTTGCGAACTGGGACAAGCTGAACCCTGCAAAAGCCCCTGAGTTTGGACGCAGGCTGGTAGCTGACTGAGAGCCTCGCCGTTTGTGGGCCTGAGCTCATGATGGCCAGCGTCGTCTTTGCAGAGTTATCGGGCTCAAAAGTCTTAAGCTTCAGCAACTACCATGCCATGAGTAAGTTTTGTGTGGCCCAAGAGCTTATACGCCCTACACTCCTATTACAAAACAACATTAAGAGTAACAATAAGAATAAGAATAAGAAGAATACTCATAATCATCATCATCATCATCATAATTCGGGAGACTTCGGGCGTGTGCGACCTCCCCAGTGGGTCGAGGGAGCATTGCTTTGGGGTTAATATCGAGGCTTCGGCTGAGCTGCAGAAAGCGTACAGCACTAGCATTTAGGGTTTAGGGTTTAGGGTTAGAATGCAAATGTGTCGAATCCTCGGGGTGTTTACGACCACTGCGCTTGGGTGGACATGTCTTGGATGACCAAGACTGTGCCCTGCAGCACTGGACCAGGAGACCTCATGCTGTAGGGGGCATCATGCGAACTACGAAACATAGGTATGTAGGTATAGGAGAATCGTGCTAAAGAGCCCTAAATCTACAGCAAGACCGATCACAGCAATCAGTCCCACCAGTGCTGGCCGTTAAAGTTTGATGCAGAGAGGGCCTCTGACTTCAGGGGCATCCAAAAGAGTTTCCTGTTGCAGGCTCAGATCTATTTCCAGGCGATTGTATTTGAAGCTTTTCATAGGCCGTACCAATTTTGCGCCGCATCAATGAAATAAGCCTTTAAACACCTTCTTCCTGGGGCGGCACGACCTGAAAAAAGCGACTCCAAAAATTAGACCTCATCTCATAATCTCCAACACGTTTAACTCTCAGCGAACCCTACAAAGTCTACCAACCCCGACCGGGAAGGCCCTCTCTGTGACCAGCCCCTCAATTCCAGCATGCTGACTGCAGTGCTGCATTGGATTGCAAAGTTTTGGTTTAAGGTTTGGGGTTAGTTTGGGCATCACCTCGGGCGAAGTGGCAAGCCTGTTGCACAAAAGGCATCGCCTCAGCAGTCCTGGGTCAAAAATAACAAGGTGGTGATGGCAGAGCTGGATCCGGGTGGGCTTGCCCGCAACCCTCAACCCTAAACCCTAAACCCAAATTCTAAACCCTAAAACCTTGTGCCATGGTTAAACTCCTTCCAGTTGTGGTTCTAGCATGGTGCAGATCCAGGCATCCGCAACTTGGGAGGCAACTTGGGCTCGGGCTTTGGCACAGTCCTGACCTAAAGCGGTGCGTCTTGGTATAATAAAATAAAAATAATAACAATCATAAAAATAATAGCAATAATAAAAACAATACCAATAAAAAAAATCTTGTCATTATTCTGATTATGATTATTATTGTTATTATTATTATTGCTACTATGTGCTTAGGGCCTTTTTTTGCAGTCGGGCTGGAGCGATTGACGGGTGTCCGCCATGCTGCTTGGGCAGCACGCGCCTTTAAGCGCTTGGGGGGTGTGGTTTTCTCGTGGAGCTTTCTAGGGATTCTAGGGCCTGATTCGGTGCTTCGCCTTAAGATGTGAAGCACCAAGCACAAGCAGTGCTCCACGAAGCTTCACTGCGCAGACGACATTCCCCTTTGTCGTGCCCGTGTTCGGGGCCTTTCCAAGTCTAGATGTTTGAAGTTGATGCGGACAAGCCGATTGGAGGCATGCAGCCCGGCATCAAGTTCTGACAGAGTAGGAAATGCAGACCGAGACAGAGGCAGGGAGCGAACGCTTTGGGTTCAATCAAGTCCTGTCTGGGACCGAAGGAGCAGCGCAAAACTCGTATGTCTGTACCATGCGCGTGCGTGCTTGAGGGGGATCCTCGACGGAGTGCGCCAAGGAACCACCGTGCTCAAATCGAACGTGAGCGTGCGTAGAAAAGCTCGGGCGTTCTTCCGGCGGACGGTCATAACAATAATAATCGTAGTACTAACAATAATGTTGCTTCCTCGAACTTGCAACTCCAATCCTGCAATCCGTCGAGCATGAAGGATGATCGGAATCCGGTCCTGTCCCATGAGGCTGTTGCAGCATCGTCGGAGGCCTGCGGGTCCTCTATAATAATAATAATAATAATACCAATGATAATAATCATAATAATATATAACAATAACAATAATAATAATCGTAGTAGGGGCAGCCACAGCGTTTGATTGTTCATGAAGTCAAGTAAGCCTTCTTGGCGTTGCGGCCTGTTTCTTGTTGTGCGACTGTCCGCTTTGAGTGCGAGCGCTATCGTCTCTTTTAACTTGCTCCTGAACTGTTTGGGATAACACCTTCGTGATCAAATGTCGCGCTGTATGAGCTGTTGCCGTTTGTCTGAAAGAAGACACAGAGGAGACGAAGAGGACGAAGAAGAAGAGGGGTCTTCACGCTGAAGAGTTGGCAAATTGAAAACATTGCGTTGACGCCCAAAAAGCTCCCCATGTGAATCTGCACGAACTTTGACAAACCGACTTCCACGGCTACTCGACTACTGTACTGACCTGTACTGTACCGGCAACACTAAGCGCCGCTGGTGATGCCGGGAATGCGGCCCGATGTTCCGGCTCAGCACCACATCAGATCGCAAGTGTGAGGCTCTCCACGTGGCCAGGGTGCGCTTCAACGTTTGTGTGCGTATAGGCCTTAGAACCACCAAGCGCATCCAAGCGCAAGACGAACCCTCCCCCCCCCCCCCCCCGATGAAACCTTGACTTCTACAAGCATGACACCCTGCCTTGCTGCAAGACGATTGCTTTGGAAGCATGTGGGTATAGCGTTGTTCAACTAGGTCAGCGGGTTCTTAGCTTCAGGTTTTGGGGCAGGGTTTGCAGGGCTGTCGCTTACAGTGTGGTCACAGATTACGGGAAAGAGACCTCGTTGCTCAAACGATTGTTGCGACCTTGTCCTGTTGCAGCCTGTGGATGTGGGCGCCGTGCCTTTGTCAGGTTGGTTTTAGTTGTTCGGAAGACAGGGTTATCGGCTGTTCAGTTCTTGGCCCCATCCCTGCAGGAAATCTAGCGATTGCTTAGACCCTAGCAGAGGACATTGCTGCGGCGAAATCTGTCAAAATACTTGCTGCCTGAGGACAGTTCTAGGCTTCAGTCCTAAGGAATGCACTCTCGCCCACTGCTTCTAAATTGGTGCTACATCAGACTGCCTTCGGTCGGACCTTTATATGCTTCACATCTTTGCGGATGGAACTTTTTATCACAACTTCAGCAAGAAGAATACAAAGCAGAACCTTCCGATCATCAATAGGCTGGACTGGATCCACACAGCTTGGGGTTCTCAGCCGTAGGTTCACACTTCCGTGACTTTAGTTGCTCCCTACAGCTCTGCGAAGGAGGGCTTATACAAGGGCTGCGTTGAGCTATAGAGTTTGTGATGAAAAGCTCGCGAGTTCTGGCGAAGATTCTGGTTGATGCGATGTAGTTCGAGGCTTTCCTCCCACGCATGGCACGACATTTCCGCAGCCGTTGCCGTGAAGCTGACCGAGCCTGCAGCCTAACAACTGAGCGCCCTGATAGCTCCGGGATGTTTAGAGGCCCACCTTCGTAGACAGCCGAGCAGGTTCCCCAAATCCTTGTGCTGGAAACCTTAAAACGCGTCATGATGCTCGAGCTCAATTGACGAGATGGGCCACACGAGGCGATGTGGGGGCATCATTTCGGCTGGAGACCCTCTGTCTTGGGGAGTTGAGATTGAGTTTTCCAGCATAAAGCGGAGAATCGGAGCCCTAAACCCTAAACCCTAAGGAGCCCTGCAATCCTGCAGGGGCGACTTGCGGCCCTTTCGCGCGCTGTGCCAGCAAACTGCGCTGGGAGGAGCGCTGTGTGGGGGACTTAGCTATAAGGCCCTAATGAGGTTTAGGGTTTAGGGTTTAGGGTTTAATTAGGGTTTAGGGTTTAGAGTCTAGGGTTTAGGGTTTAGGGGGGAGGCAGGCATGCAACTCGAACATGCAGAGCCCTCTAAAAAGTAGTTGCACATCTCTCTGAAAAGTAGTTGCGCGTCTCTACCTTGCTAGCAGACGGCCTTGAAAATCCATACCTTCTATTCCGAGATAAACCCTTTGAATGCCATGTGGCAAGCCTGCAAAAGGTCCCTCTTACCCGAACCAAACCTCCCCTAGCGACCCTAGCCTCCGAAAGCCGACAAGCCTGAAGCCTGATCCTACAGTTTGCTTAGGGTTCCGGGTTTAGGGTTATATGCTGCAGTCAATCTGAGGTCCATGGGTGTTTCTCGGACCCGGCCTCCGCGACCTTCGCTTGGACCTGACGAGGCTCCAGGGGGCATAAGCGCTCTTGAGAGCTACTATTTGCTTAAGAACCCCCAAAAATTAAATTATTTTACTTCGAACATCCCCACCCTGTTTTGGTGGAGATACTCTGGGGTTGGGCACTGCAGGGACACTCTGGGGCTGGGCACGCTCGGGACACTCTGGGGTTGGCACTCCAGGGAGACTCTGGGGCTGGGACTCTGGGGTTGGGCAAGGTCCACGAAGAGGCACAAGGCACTCCAGGGAGACTTTGGGGTTGGGCACTCCAGGGAAACTCTGGGGCTGGGCCCTCCTGATGGGCAATGTAGGGAAAGTCTGGGGTTGGGCACTCCAGGGACACTCTGGGTTTAGGCACTCAGGGACACGGAGTAGACCGGGCGAGGAGAAAAGGAGAAGACCCCGCACCGAAGGTGTGGAAAAAAAACCCATAATCCCTATATTACCCTTATAAGGAAGAGTATTCTATTTTGGGGGGGGGGTTCTCAAGAAATTCGTAGAGAGGGGCTTGGCTAGGGGCAAGCAGGGGGCTTTGTAGTCGGCAGTTAACATGCTGCTGTCGGGTTCCAGAGCCTTTGGGTTTCGGGTTTAAGGTTGCATTGTTGCGCACACCAACCTGCAGAGGGGAGATCTGTGGCATTTCAAGGGTCTTGCTGGCAAGCAGGGTTCTGCTGCGGAGTCGCTACACCTGACCCCTTTATTGGATGCTGGTTTACTGGTCATTGGGCATCCCTCTTATTCAAAGCGGAGGGCCTTGTAAGAATGCCGGAACCTCTCTAAAACTCTTTGCCTCAAATTGCTTGGGTGAATTCGAAGACCCTTTCCTTGCAGAGGCTGTGCGACGCTGGACCAGGCCGGTCCTGGCTGGGAGGTTCTCATCCCCTGAACCACAGGGGCCCAAACCGCGGCATCCAACCTTAAAAATTTGGGCTCTTAGGTCGTGACCCTCTTAACCTACCCTGCGCGGCGCAGGTGCGCAACAGAAACCTTGATGGGGCTGTTTCAGGGCTTTCAGTGTCAAACGACCGGCAAATGATGGAATCAAGAGCTCGAAACCAGTCAAGCTGCGAAGCCTAGCCTTTGAGCCAGCCTTCCTTGGCGCATGTGAGCTCCTAGGCGGAGAGTATGCAAGCTCTGGAGCCCGAGAACTGTGCACTTTGTGGTTTTTTGGTTTAGGTCTGCTTCGCCCCTTTGCGCTCAGGCACGCCATATGGCTGCAATCGGACTCTTACGTGCCATGCCCAGTCAGGTTGTGAGGACACAGCCAGTCCACAGTCACACTTCGGTGTGGTGCCGTTTAGGACTCGGTTGGGACATAAAAGCTGATTTCGAGCTTATTGAGGGTTTAGGGTTTAGGGTTTAGGGTTTAGGTTGAGGGTTTAGTCTGGAATTTGGAGAGCCGAATGAATGGAAGTCCATGTTCGTAGAACTAAGTGTCCAACCGTTTGCATCGCCCAGTGCCTGGAGTTGCGTGATTTAATGTGGTGCGTAAGATGTCGGCACCGTGTCAGTGTTGGCATTCTTCAAACCCTATCAGATGTGCAAACCGATACAGGCCGCCCTAAAGCTTCAAGTGAGGGTTGTTCAAAACCCCCCTTGTCTTCGAGTTATACTGGGGCGACCATCAGATGATGGAAATGAGGGTCTGCGAAAGTCCGCGATGGGCCCGCGAAAGACAAATCACGCTTTCGCGAAGTTTTGTGTTAGTACTGTTTGTGCTGAAACTAATACGGGTGTAAAATAGGCTCCGCGAAAGTCCGCGATGGGCCCGCGAAAGACAAATTGCTTTTCGCGAAGAATGGTCGTTTTGCCGTGAAGCAATTTCGAACAACCGTCAAGTATCTATCCATTACAAAGCCGTATCTGGATGGGATGTGGAGTTGTGGCTTCGGGACCTAGTCAAGCCGTCGACATCCTTGCAAGATCGGCAATAGGCAGTGGAAGCCGGACAATGTACCATGTGGTGCGCTGTAGTCTCTCTCGGGTTGCCCTTGGTTGTAGCCATCATCAGCATCAACTTGCGTGAGGCGAGTCCGTTCTTAAATCGAAGCCACTCTCGAGATCCCAATTTCGTTTGTAGGCCTGCTTGTGACGAGCTCTGTGGCGGCAGCTCAAGCTCAGAGCCGCGGGGCAGCAATGAGGGCAAGCACAAGTTTCGCTCCTATGACTTGGGGTGTCAGGGTGTGAACGGATGTGAGGGTCCTTGCATATGCAAGGAAACATGTCGAATGTTAATTAACACGTAACTGGTGGAGTCATGGTTCGTAAACTAGGTCAAGTCTCCGGACAACTCATGGAAGGGCAAGGTGAGGGAGGCAGCAACAGCACCCGTCATGGCGCGTAAGCAAAGCGCCCCGACGGCTAGCTGTCCGGAGACAACAGGTCCGGGGGACAAGGGAAGCGGAGGGGCGAGTTGTCCACTGCCAGGGTTGCGGATAAGGCCTTTAAGGGCCAAGATGCAGTCGGCAGCGACAGGCAATCGCCGGGTCTTGGCACTTCCCGAAATGGGCTCCCGAGGCCCAAGCACCGTCAGCGCGTCACGGTGCATAAGCGACTCCAGCAAACGTGGGGATAGGGTGGAGTGGCGCATGAGTGGTGCGCACGGGAAGGTGGGGGGGCGAGTTGTGCGGGCAAATGGGGCGGGGGCTCTTCAGGCCTAAAACCAGGACAAGTCCGGGGTCTGCCCGGGTCGAGATATGGGACTTGTGGTTTTTTGACAGTAGGGCTCACCGGGGTCGACAGGGAATTGGCAGGTTTTGGACCTTCCCGAAATTGGCCGTAAGTTCCTGGATTTAGAGCTTCGATGCGCACTAGAATTGCTCCCCAGTGTTGACTGGCATGGCGCATGAAGCACGACTTCTCAGATCCCGCCCGCCTGCAGTTGCGAGACCGACTCATGGTAGAGTATTCCGGCAACATCCTGCAACGTGATGAAACTCTACCTCTTGGAGTCCCAAGTCATGGTACTCTCTCAATGTCTCTGACATGCCCTCCAACTCGCAAAGCTTGTTTTTTCTGAACTCAACACACCACAATTGAACCAGAGGTCGCTCAGCCCGCAAGGCTTTCAGTCATACCTGGCGGGCTCCACAGCATGTGTCTACTTCGCGCCTGAGGGTTGCTGGGTTACCTGGGGCTTAGGCCGGAGTTAGGGCATAACCTCGACCTGGAAGCCTTTTGCATCCCCAGCCCTGACATGTTTTGAAGTCCTGGGTCGCAAAGGTCTCCTTCCCTCTAAGTCCTCAGGCATGTACTTCCGTCATAGGGAAGACACAGTGAGATTGATGTTGGTGCGTTTGTGGTGGAGGAGAGCGGAATCTTGTGACGAAGGGGATGGGGGGGATTCGGCTTCGGGTATCGTAGTCGGAACTCGGATTCCTGAAGTCTCTTTGGGCTTTGCACTATGGCCCAAGTTGAAGGAGATCAAACCGTTCGAACCGGGTAAGCGAAGAGCGTCAGCCCTTCAAACAATCGGAATTCCTTCATGCCGATTGTATAGGTGGAACTTGAACTAGCCAGGCTTGGGGTACCTCTCATTTTGTATTGTTGTTAGTTAGAGTGTTTAATTCATCGTTCTTTTCAGGTTTCTTTTGTGACTACTAGTGCTACTCTTATTCATTCTTATTAGTGTGAGAGCTCCTCCGCGCTCAGGACTCCATCATGTCCAGCAATCCTTTCGGAGGCTTCGAGGGTCACCTGAGTAGCTTGAGAACTGCTCACCGCGGCTTGAGCCAGAGTCTGAAACATCCCGGCTTCGTTCCTCATGTGCCTAATTGGACCTTGTTGTTCCTGGGCATGAACTCATCCGAACAACAAACGGAGGGAATACCTGTATTAACTCAGCGTGCTGCTGGCGAACAACAACTTGGGGCCCCTGAACCCCACACCCTCCGCTCGTTGTTTCTCGTGCATAAGACTCAGTATTGGAGCAGGTAACATGTAGCTTTTTGGGGGGCAGGGCGGGAGAGGTATTCTCCCCATGTTCCGCCAGAGGTTTGCCAAAAGCGAGCTTCCCTAGACAGACGTAGGAGGAAGTTGCCTTCGAGAATGCTAAATGGAGGTGCCACTCGATTCTTCTTGCAAAGTCGCCTGGGCAGGCAGGTGTTAGTCTAAAGGTTTGCCTTGACTTCGACTCTCCAGCCTCCCTCCCGGTGCTTTGCTTGCCGGCCCGCGGATGCATGTGCCAAGTCGTCAAAAAAATCCTGCACTGCCAAAACCCTATACGATACCCTCATTCCTGCTGAGTGGTCTTGCGGAACAAGAATCCCGTACACCTCGTCTGGCGCACAATCGCGCATCCCTGCACCCCTGCTACCTGAGCCTGTACACCCATCGACCCGTTGCAGAAGCCCGCGAACGGCGCAGGCGACCTGGAACCCTGGGAAGTGCCCCAGGCTGCCTGGAGTCTTGGGTTAGTGTCCTTGACAGGGACAGCTCGGGCAAATGCCTCGCATTGTACACCTGCTTCTTCCGCAGGTCAGAGGTCTGCCGTTGCCTGCAGCAAAGAACCCTGGAATGAGCTCAGCAAGAGCACCTTTGCTCGAAAGCAACTGCTTACTTCACCATATCTCCCACCTTACTTGTAACACCCTCTCGCTGCCTCCACTTTCGCAACATTGCAGGTGGACCTGACGGAGCCAGAAGCCTTCATCTTTGTCTCGCAACGCGTGGCGGCCCACCCTTTGTGCTGGGAGTTGAGGACACTTGTAGATTGCGGGGTTAAGTGTTAAGAACCTCGGCTTTATCACTTTCAGTGCTTCAGATATGTGGGATTTAGGGAATCTAGCTTTGGAGTGCTGGGACGCCTGCTACGACGGCTATGGCGGGCCCTGAGGGATGATGGCCATCGGCTTCCACTAGTTGGCAAGCGCAAAGGTGTTAGCTTTGAAGAAGCTCTACAGACCTGAGCTGCAGGCTTGCGAACCCCCAGGTTGTTGTGAGGATATGGGTGGATGACTGCCTCTAAGGGGGGCCTTGGCTTTGCGGACTATTGCAAACCCAGGCGCCACACTTTGCCCCTTGAGGTCAGGCACTGTACGTGGCGCTGCGGACGCTGGCTTTGAAACTCCGGGATCCGACGTCCAGGGCCTTGGACCAAGAATGACATTTCGAAACATGAACATGAGTTCAGATCCCACCTGCGTTAGGCCATGGTCTTTATGAGCTTCTCGAGATTCTGTAGCCCAACTCCTCGATAGACTTGGCTGAAGCAAGATGCCAGACAGGATGTGCTTGGCTCGCTTGCCTCCCCTGAAGTGTGGTGCAAGGGAGTGCACGTGCAAAATGGCTTAGGCCCGCTTAGCCCCGCCAGCCACACAGCAAAAAAACAACGAAAGCATAAGCCTAGTATGTAGTTGTTGTTGGCATCTTTCTACTTATTATGTTGAGTTGTTTTTGTTGGTCGCTCGTCCATCCCCTGTTGTCGTGATTGGTTTATTCATTCTGTAAATTGCGACAAGTAAACCCGATTAGACCATGTCAAACCATATGAACCCCATCTTAAACCAATCTATGTTAGCCCATATTATTATACCGTGCTCAACCATATTAAATCATATTACACCATGCTAAACCCCATGATATCAAAGCATGTTGAAGCATGTTAACCCGCAGCTCTCCTGGCTTTGGCCATGGGGGCTTCTGGCTCAGCTGGGCCTGCAGAAGCCGAGCAAAGCGAGGAGACGTGGGGTTTAGGGGCTTTCGGGGGCTTTCAGGGCGTCAAAAGGGCTTTCGGGGGCTTTCAGGGGCTTTGGGGCAAGAGGGGTACAGGGGCGCAGGGATACAAGGGTTAGGAGTCGAAGCTTCGAGCTCAGGAGTTAGGCATCCTTTTTTTTGGGGCGGAGGCCGAGAGGGGGGGGGGGGGTCAGGGAGATGTGGATTTGGGTTGTTCGATTTTTTGGGGTCTGGGATCATCTTCCGCCAACTTTGTGGGATAGAGAGAGGTAGCACTTTGAGATTCGAGCTTCGGGTGTCCAGGAGATTTGGAAGGCCTGACGTTTCGGGTGGTAGGGGGGGGAGGAGGACGGCGGAAGAGGAGGAGAGGGTCTCGACGCTCGGGCCCTCACAGTTCGGAACCCCAACTTGGAGCTGCACAACAGACACCAGTATAGCAAGACTCGGAAAACATGGATACTGATACCTTTACGATTTGCCTTTGAAACCTGTGTAACCAATATCCATGGGCCAGCTGCAGAAATGTTGCAATGTGCCGGCCGCTGTCAGGAGGACTCCTTTGCGGAGGTCAGTGCCCAGGTGTCGACTCGTGAAACTGGGCTAGCTTGAAGTCCTCCAGCCTGTAATCCCTGGAGGTCGAGTCGTGGATTCAAGCGCACCCCGTCTTTGAGACCTTGATCGGTGGAGCGAGCCTCGTCTGTGAGAGTCAGGGGCGCTCCGCGAGTCAGAAGTCTTCTGCATCTGCAAGAAAACGGTGGCTTTGTGGGCTGCAGTTGCAACTTCGATGTCCCAGTGCCCTTTGAGTATGCAGTATGCCCCATCTTCACGTTCAAGCAAATCACGAAGATGGCAGGAAGCTCAAGTGCTCCGCCTGTCCTGTGGCGGCACATGCATACCAGCAACTTGGGCACGCATTGTCGCAGCCCTGCTAACGGTTGACCTGGCATCTTCAAGCAGCTGTTTTCCCGTCGCCTCCTGCGCAAGAAAGCGTGCAGAGCATGTAGAGTTAAGACATTCATACCTCGAAGAGGATGATATCCGACAAGCCTATAAACCTCGGAAGCCCCAACCCTGAATGGCGCAACCTGGAACCCTTATGTCCCCAACAAAGGTCTGCCCTGACAGACGACAACTTCGGCATCAGCTTCAAGCAGCCTCTCCAGGGCACGGAGAGTGCCTTCGCCTGCTTTAACCAACCAAAACAAGACTCTGGCTTGTTAAGGGTAATATAGGGATTGTTTTTTATTCTTAAATAGTAGTATCAGGGTTGACACCAGGCTGACGCTCCTTGTAGTAGACTGCAGCGGGAGCCAGAAGTTCAAAAAATGCTGGAGACATCGTATTTTTCCAAACGTCCGACTCGATCCTATGACTCTGTGTGCCGATTCCCATGAACTGGTCGTGCCTGCATGGGGCGACAACATGATGAATGATGCATCTGACTGTCTGAAGCACATCACCCGGACTGCCCCAGCGCGAGAGCTGCCCTAAACCCCTGCGGGGGCAGGCTGGGCAGGTGGCAAAGGACCCCACAACCTTAGCCCCAAAGCAGTTTGGACTCCCACACCCGCCCAAGACCTTGAACCACCCGTCAAGACCCGAGAGTCTCAAGCCTACAGCCTGCATTCGGAATTCCCAAAACCCACCACTCTCTGTGCAACGCCACAGCCTTCCTAAACCTTCCCCCGGGTGGCAAAAAAACTCTTAAACCCTGACCACGTTCCGCGGACAGGCGTCGAGGAGCTCCAGGCCGAACTTCACCATTGGGGGGGTGGGCCTGGGATGTTGAGAGTTCAGGACTCTAAGGACAGGTTTTGCTGGGCGTTCGCATGCAAGTACTACAATTGAGCTGGCATTGGAGTGCTGCCTTGGTGATTTGTCTTTGGAGCACTGTTCACCTGACAATTGCTCCGAATCGCTACCGAATTTCTCTTCAAAATTCAGAAGAAAAAAAGGTGAAGGAATTGCGCACGATTAGGCCTTCACAGCAAGTCCTCGTTCTTTGTGCAGTTCTCTTTGCTGTCACGTGACCCAGCTCTTCTCGTGTCCAGCAGGCGCTAGACCCTATTACTCCTTGCAGTTTATTTTCACCCTAAAGGTCCACAAAGTCTCACCCACCCTGCACCTACCAAATGTTCAGTCGGCATGCTCAATAAGTTGTACCCAAGTCTACAAGTACCAGCCATGCCCCAAACATCGCCCATGCGAAGCCCAACTTCCCCATATCCGATCTTGAGAGCCAGGAGCCCGAGATTTCCTCCACAACTCTTTGAAACAGCTAACCCTAAACCCTAAACCCTAAACCCTAAATGGGCCGTGAGTCGAAGACAGGCTCAGGTGGACTACCTGTGGGTGCAGCGACTGGAGCTCCCGATGATTCTCGTGCCTCGTCGCAGAATGGCTCTGGGGCAAGTGCCCTTCTCAGAAGCCCAGGGGCAGCTCCGACACCTTCACGAAGCAACACCCAGAATCGAGAACCCTTCGCCTGAGAGATTTTGGTCTGCTTCTGCACGATGCTGGATAGCAACCGTCAACCAAGTCGGCATGCTTTGTGCAGGTACATCAGTGATAAGACTCCCATAGACTTGCCTATAGCCAGCTGAAAGTTGTGCGTGGGAGCCCAAGGATGACGACCGCTGGCGGACTCTGGCCCTTGTTCCAAGCGTAACCTTCGCCCAGGGTGACGCCGGCCAGCGGATCAGGCTACTGCGGCACTCATTCAGTTCCGCAGCTTGTTCCGCCTAGAAGTCATGGACATCTTGCGTGAAGATCGTTCCGTGTGCAGGGCTTAGGGTCGAAGCCGCTACAGCAAGCCAAGTATTTACCCAAGCTCCCAAGCCCAAGCAGCCGCGTGGGGGCACGAAGGCCATTCGTCCGCCAGTATGGATGATGCAAGTGTCAAGCCGCCCGCTTCTTCTTGTTTTGACCAACTTGCAGTTGTGTTGAACCGGCCCGGACTACGATGAAAAAAACCCGCCTTCGTAGGGACAGCTTGTGTCCCCAGCGCCCAAAAAAGTCTAACAACTCTTAGCTTCTGAGGCTGACCTTCTTCGATGGAAGCAGGCATCACTCGCTGTGCAGCATGCAGGTTGTCCATGGAAGCAGTGCAACGACTAGAACTCGAAAGCGCCTGTTGCAAGCGGATGCTACGCTCGGGGGTTTAAGCTACACCGAGCTGGGCACTTTGCCATTGCCAGCTTGGTGCATCTTGCACGGTGCTCTTTTGAACCCTTAGCTTGGACCTGCTCTTTTCTGAGAGAGTTTCTCTTGAGGCGTGAGGAGAAGTCGTAAAAGCTTCAAGGGTTTCTTTCTGCAGGTTGCACTGGACAGTCGAAGATATGGTCTTCGATGGTGTGCTGGGTGAGATGGAGGCGGAGACGCCTGAAGGCGCTTCCGGAGTGGTTCCGGTGAGGGTTCTTCGGGGGCGAAGTCCTTGACCCCTAGATGGCACCTTAGGTTTGGGAAGTTGACAGTGCTGGTCAAACTAGTTCGTCAGAAAGGGCAGGTGAGACAGCCAAGGTACGCCGCGCAGCTTCGTGGTCAGGAAACCTTTCCGCGGAATGATCCAGTTCGACTGCGCAATAAAGATCTGACAGGCCAACTCCACTGGCAGACCTTATGCCTTGGCCCGACCATGACCATCCATGACCCACATCCAGTTCGCATCCTTCCCCTTCTTCTACGGCGCCACCTCATGGGGTTGCTCCTCCACAGTCTGCATGGAATGAGCTGCAGTGGGCGATCGTGCCAATCCATGCTTTCTGATGTCTGGGAAAGCCTGGTGCGCACAATCTTGCCAGGGCTGGGAATCCGATTGGCCGGGAAAAAACCCAATGGCCACCATCACACCGTCGGCATGCAAAAGAACGTTTCCAACGTGGAGGCCGATGAAAAGAGGAGTGCTTGGCGATCCACTGTACTCCCATGCTCGCAGCTCTGAAGCACTTCATCCAAAGAGCTTTTTGTTCGCAAGCACTTTCCACAGGGATCTTGACAAGATGAAGAATTCTCTTGAACTCGTCCAGCTGGTGCCTTTTCTATGTTAGATACAAAGTCCCATTTGCAGATTGCTAGGTCATGATACCCAAGGCAGGCTATGAAGTCCACGAACTTTTTTAACTGACATTACCTGTTGTGTTCCATGCCTCATGGGCCAGAGGCTTACCCGTTCGCTGCAGCTGGATGATGACGTGAAGCGCCAGCGGCCAGACCTCGTAGCTCCAGCTATTCCTGTGTTCCGAGGACCCTCTCTACTTACAGTTTTATGGGTTATACCTACTACTTCAGGGTAGTTGCTACCAAACTGTAGGTACATAGAGTCCCAGCTTATTCATGAGCCAGAGACATGGCCGGGGTCTCCTAGAGTCGACGCGAACACTGCGTTTGCAGACCGCAGCCCCCCAAAAGCTCGGCTTCAACTGCTGAGCGGAAGCTGAGCACCCGGCCCTGTAAAGCAACCTTCCATGCTGCGAGCAGTGTTCACTCACGTGCAACTTCCCTGCAAAAGCGTCTGACAAGGCCGCGATGCCGACCCATCCGGTGCGAAGGGATCGGATGCTTTAGGACTTTAGGCTGTTTCATGGCACCCGGAGAGAGAAAAAAGCTTAAGCCAAACAAGAATGCAGAACAGTCCTCCTTTGCAAAGCGGCATTCAGGCCAGCAACGCCCTCGACTATGGATTGACGTATGGTTGCAACTGGAGGCGAGTCCCTTAGAGAGCTCTGCAGTTGTTTAGCTTCCCGACATATGTTTTGTTTTTATCATATTAAAGTTCCGACAGCTATGCAGGCTCCGTGTACACATCGTGGACACCCCCAAAACGCTTTGAAAATCCGTTGCCAGGCCAAGCCCAGCTGGAGTTCCAGACCCCGAAGCTTGTGCCGGTGACCCCTGCACCAGGGCTTTGGCGAGTTTTTTCTTGTTTATTGCAGGGGGCGGGGGGAGGGATCGAGGCTTGACGGTCCCTGAAGGCTGTTCGAGTGGAAACCAAAACTTGTTGGTTTGCTGTTCGTCCGCTTTGCTTTCCAGGGGAATGTGGGGCATTGGGCTCATGGTTGCGTTTCACCTGCTGGCAGGGGAATGTGGAGAATTTTCCACAAGGGCCCTTCACCTTCTGGCTTGCCGAGTATATCTGAAACTGAACTTGAACTGAAATGTCAAAGCGTTTGGGACTGCAGGGGCACCTTCTTAACTCAGTGGCCTTGAGAATGTTCCTGGCCTTGCGTGTGATTCAGCACAAGCTTCCATGGCGGCCGCAAGAAGCTGTTTGTGGTAGAAGAGCTCCTTGCTTGCAGGCAAGGGACCCAGAACTGCCCCAAACTGCACCCAAGGCGCGGTTCCCTCCGCTGACCGGCGTCGGGGCAGAAGCTCTGCAGGGCAATTTGTTTAGCTTACTGGCGGCCCGGCCATGATTCAGAGGAGTCAGTTGAAGTGCGGGCCTGTGCGCAATGTAGGACACAACATCGGCACAGTGTGTGTGTGTGTGTGTGTGTACATGTGTGGACTGAGCTTCCAAGTATACAGTCGCAAGTGCGGAGAGTGTGGGCAGACCTTCGCCCCGACTCTTGCAAAGCGTGGCTGGACTCCTGGACCCTGAACCGCAGACATGGCAGGCGTGGGCGCGAGCACTTGCTGAGGAGAACGGCGTCAGGCAGGACCTTACTGTTGGTTAGCAGGGCGGGGGGGGGGGGGAATTTTGGGCCCTATGTATATATATATATACCCTAATATAAGAAATTCTATAGGGTACCTCATTCCCCCAGTCCCTACTAACCAAAAGTAAGAAACCCGGAGGTTCGGATTGCGCTTTCCGTGCGAGCGGTTTGGGTTCGGTGGTCGTCATAGTAAGGGATAACAGGCACAGCCGCACAGCACCGTTCATCCTTCTGACAGTTGCCTTCATTCTCAGATAGCCCTGCGGTCGTCCGTACATTTTGTTGAACTGCATGAAATGGTTGGCTCTCTTGCCTCTTCCCTTTCCTCTCCCTCTCCTCCATTTCCCTCCTTCTGTTCTCTCCGTCTTTATTTCGCCGTCTCCTCTCTCCTATTCTCGCTTCCCTTCTCCTTTTTGAGAAAGAGATGAAAAGAGACCAAGAGGAAGAAAGCACAGGGGGCCATATCAAAAAGCCAAGTTTGGCCCGAAACCGAGGGGTTGCGATCCGCGGGCACGAGAGTGCAGATTGAGCTTTGTGTTCAGCGCCAACCGATAGGGATGATGGGAGCGTATTTCATGCTCACATGAGCTGCACAGCGCAGGCCTCATGTGTTGAGACCACCGATACTTGGGTCCGCAAAGTGTAAGCTGCACTTAGGATTTTCATGGGTATTCTAAAGCTCTATTGCTTCTGATGGGTAGGGCCGGGGATCACTCTTTGCAGAGGTGCTTGGCTAGTTCATTGTGCAGTTAAAGCGCCCTGAGCATCGCCAGGCTTGGCGTGGACTCTTGCTTCTGGCGCGGGCCCTGGTCATGGTGTTTGGTTGGCATTCTGTCAAGATCAGCTCTGCACCTGTGGTCCGAGTAGCCACAAAAGGTGCGAGAAGACGAAGGTTCGGGCTCCGTTGGAGAGGTTAGTCTCGGTGACTAGTGCCTTTGCATGGGTTAACGGGTGTCTGGTAGAACCCTTCGCCTTGACAACACGGACAAATATTCTTCCTTCTTGCTGGCGCTTCAGCTGTGATGCTTGTTCTGGTTGCCGATGCAGATGCAACAGGGTGAAGGGCTTGGGGAAGCGCATCACGGCATCTCAATTCCTACAAAAAAAGGCCGGACGAAGGCGCCACTCACCACACAAGTCGCCTGATCAAGAAGCGGATGCTCTCGATCACTTCTCCAGGGCCCTGAACCCAAAGGCTGGGATTTCGTGCTCCAAGGAGACAAAGAGACGATCCAGAACTCTGGTGCCCCCACGACTCTGTGCTCGGCGTGCCTTGGCTCCCTTGCGATCGGGACTTTGAAGGGGAGTTCTCAGGATTCTCAGGAAGAGCTAAACAGGGCCGAGAAGGGGATGGGATCGGGAGTTCGGGAATCCGGCTCTCGGGTTTCTGCATGTTGAGGGCTGTTCACCAGTGCCCTCGAATCTATAAGGGCCGAGGGACAAACCTCTCGAATCCGAGCACTTGGGGGTCCGGCAGTGGGGTGCTGCAGGTATCGCCTAAGACCTATACAGGTCATCTGTGCAGGATGGCCCTAACTTCAGGCCTTCACAACCAAATCCTCTTGGCAACCCCACTCAGAAAGCTCCATTCCAGCATGCTCACGCGTTCACTTGTCTGGATTCCAACCCTCTCGTCAGAGATCTTGCGCATGGTGCATCCAGCCCCAGTAGACTGAAAGTGTTCACTTGGCGATTCTCATTCTGAACAGAGACCTCAAGCCTGAACGTATTGCGGACTCTTCATTCCTTGGCACCCCTTACCCACAAGGCTATGCGGGGTGGAGCCAGTGGTCCCGATGCGAGGCGTCGGTGGGAGAGCTTGAGTTCTTCGGCTGCCCGGGTGTTTCCCAGCCTTAGATGCGAATATAGACCGCTCACCCTGGTTGCACGCTACGGACGATCTTGGGGTGCTCAAAAGCTCGAGGCGATGGTCCTGGGACCTAACATAAGTTCGGGTGATGCTTCCCCTGCAGTGGGCTCCAGGGTCCTCGATCAGATTTCTTGCTCAAGTAACTTTGGCCCTCGTGCTCTTGGCCAGGTCTGAGCTTGCAGCTTCCTTTGCAAATCGAACTGAACAGCCTGCTGAAGAACCAAGCTCCCTGAACCCATTTCTGGGTTTAGGGCGGCGCTGGACTCTTCGAGCTTCTGGGCAAAGCACAACCTGACGCTCGAAGAGGCCTTGCCCAGTGCTACAGTAGCACTCTGGGAGACTGTAGGCTGCAGAGTTGGGGTACAAAGGGCTTCAGAACAGTTCAGAAAGCGCCAATGCCACGGATGCCAGTTCTTAAGATCAGCTGCACCTCCTTTCAAAACACCTCGGCTCATGGCAGTGGCACAGTGATACTTCGTGATTGTGAGTTGCGGCCGTTGTTAGGAGATTCTTTTGATGAGTTCTGAAGAAACAGCCTATATGAACCCTTAAGGCCCTAATGCTTGTCCCGAACATGGCCTGAGCATCACCTGGTTGATGCAAGTGTGAGTTTGTGAAGCTGCTGGCATAGAAGGACCAGAAGTGATCCAGAGTGCCTTTGTCAAAGCACCCAAAGTGTTGCTTGGAATAAGTCCATGTTTACTGTGCACCTGTTTGTGTTTTCGCGTGTGTGCGTGTGTTCGTTGCCAGGAGAATGTGCGCACGTTGTCGGGTGCGTGTTTAGGCGGCCTGCCTCTCAGGTCGGCGTTCGTCCAAATGTCTGCCATTTTGAGTCAAGCCGCTGGGACGATGCCTCAGCAACATGTTGTCAAGAAGAATTTTGGGATAAGCCCCGAGCATTTTCCTGAAGCGTGTGTCGAATGGCTGAAGTCCACCTGTGGGTATGGGAAGCAGGGAAGGAGCAGGAGAGGTTCACAAGGGCTTGCTCCCGCTCCAGGGAGGTTCAATACGCAACGCAACAAAACACGCTGCCAAGCTGTAGCCTCCAGCCTAACTCGCCAGAAATCTGTATGCCGCACCTGCGCCCAGGTCTGGCGAAATACTCGCGACCCTGCGGCTGAAACTGGCGAGTTCTGCTTAGCACTTAATCCGACTGATGCAGAGCGCAAGTCTTGTAACCATCAGGCAATAACGTTGCATCAGCAAAACAATGCAAAACAGCTTAGCTTGACTTCAACTCGCTAGCTGCTTAGGTGCCCAGTGAATTACAACTAAGCACGACAAATAATAACACTCCGTCCCGCCATGTCCCGCCTGTGCTGCTAGTTGTAAACCCTTGCGTGCGCCGCCTTGGAAGCCGGGTCAGCCCAAGCGATGGGACGCACATGGGAGTCCCAATTGTAGTCCCGGTCCCCGCACTCCCAAAAAAGTCAGGTTTTTTTGGGATCACCCGCTGTGGGAATGGCCCACAAGCACCCTGTCTTGCGGGGCAGGTGTTCGAGGGAACCCCAAAGGCCCCAACATGTCAAGGTCGCGGCTTCAACGACGTTCCATCAGTCTACTCGCCGGAGGCATAGCCGGACCGGTGTTGAAGCCACATTGCTACTTACGTTCGGCACCTTTGGGCTGCACCATCCTCTGTAGCGTCTGGCATCTGGGCCCCCCAATGTCTTTACATCGGGTACACACTAAGTCGGGTGGTTTGGGGGCTTCGTTTGCTCAGCTGGGGCTTTGGGACTTGATTGTGGAGTCAGAGATTCAGGGGCCGATGGGCCGCAGGATCTACACTGCTGATAAGCGCCCAGTTCGCTCACATCCGATCTTGTCGAAGATTAAGCTGTGCACCTTTCAACGGAAAGAAGCCTCCACCGCGCACGTCACCTGCGCATGTCTTTCTTTCGCTCGCTTTTGATAAAGCGACCTTTGCATTCTTGGTTTTTAGGCTACTGGCACACCCGTCTTGTTGTCACTAGTCTGAGTCTCAATCCCGTAGTAGCCGTTGTAGCACTTGACTTCTCGGAGGTTGACGATTTCATGTCCAGAGATCGGCCGTGGACTCTCGCGGTGGACATCGCCGGGGCTCAGTGAGCGGGAGAGGGAAGGAACTCTTCCCGTGAAACTCGGAAGTTGTTCACAAGAGTACCCTATGAAGTTAAATATTGGACTAGGAAGAATTAGACTCTGCTGCGCCGGCTAGCCGAAATCTTGGTAAGCAGACAACCGCACCAACAATCTAGGGTTGCCAGAGAGAGCGCACATCTCAAGCCTCGACCGGCTGAAGTCCAACCCCTCGATGTGTCAGACCACGCAGGTACGGTGGCGGCTGTGGCTCTGCGAATGGAAGGACTTGGGCTACGCAGGACAGCCTCAAGAACACTGCGGAAGTGCTTTGTGAAGTGGCACTGTTAGCCAAGCTGTAGGAAGCCGCGTCGGCCGAAATGAGGCGTCGCGGGCTTCTATGGTAGGAAGGGCTGAAGCCGGGACTCTCCAGAGTCTCTCCAGATTGAGTGCACCTGAGCACAAGTTTCCGCACAAAATGCGAGCCAAGTGCACTGCGTCTCGACTGCACTATGCTGAAACTGGTTGGCCTTGCCAACTGCAGGACGAAAGCACGCCGCGTGCCCAGTCTAATAATTCAAATTTTTGGCCTTTGCCAAAGCGATGGCCGTGGAAACTCACTCCGCAATGGGTGGCTGTGGCACGAGGTCTTGGAGTGATGACATGTGTTTGCTACCCTGCGGTGTGCGAAGCTTGCCTTCGTCCGTATTGGAGAGGCAAGACCGTACTTTTCAGCGTTTGCGTCTTGAAACTAGAACATCAGCTATTATTTGTGAAGATGAGAAAATGGTACCGTCCACGCAGTACACCAACCTAAACATGGTTGGCAGTAGCTGTCGTCATATGTAGTCGTGGTCGTAATCGTAGTGATCATTGTTGTAGAAGTGGCAGCAGTAGGCCCGAGTAGGTGAAGGTACGGCAGCTGCCGCACCAGCGGCGGCGATAGCTGTATGTGTAGCTGGTGCTACCCCCAGGCTTGAGGCTCTGTTATTGGGCCTGACTTCGAAAGCCCCAAACTCAGCCGACCTTGACTCACAAGCCCACTTTGGTACAGCCGACCCAAAGCCCTTATTCAAATCAGCTGCCAGCGAGCAAAGGCCTGTGTTCTACCCGGAGACACTGGCGCTCGGCTTTCATTCGATCCTTGGCTTCATGGTGAGAACTTCAGCGGTTTCGAGTTGTTACCGACATTACTCGGCATCCGAGAAGATCGTCTCCCTGATTGGATGTAGACGTCGTGCTGTCCTGCGTAAGGTGGCATCCTGTGCTCGAACTCATGATTTTCAGATGAGTGTGACCCAGAATCAATAATCACTGTTCATCAACACACGCACACACACACACACACACACACACACACGCTCTCCCTCTCCCTCTCCCTCTCCCTCTCCCTCTCCCTCTCCCTCTCCTCTCCCCTCTCCCTCTCCCTCTCTCTCTCTCTCTCTCTCTCTCTCTCTCTCTCTCTCTCTCTCCGTGAGTGTTAGTTCTATCGAATCGAATGATTCGAGCGCTTGATTCGGGACCCTGTTTCAGCGTTGCTTGGCCTGGCATCTGATGCCAAGGACGGGCCGCACAATTGGCACTGGAACGCGGGGGCCTCGTGAAGCTTCAGAGCTGTTTTGACCCCAACACAGCGCCAAGTTGAGTTCGAATGTGAAGATAAGTTCCACGTCATTAAAGGCAGCGAGTGAATAGTGTTGAGTGAGACATGCGAGACTGACCTCCCGCGTGTTGCTCTGCAAGCGCATTCAGGACGGCATTGGTGTTTCTTGGTGTTCGCTCGGAGCTTACTCAGCAGGTTGTTTTTCCACTTTGCTTGCTGAGAGGACGAACACAATACAATCCAATCCCTGGCACGCTATTTCGGAAGCATTTCTGCATGACTAAGCATGTAGGCGGCCACTGCCGAGCGCATCAGATTTGCCTGAGGCCACAAACTTTGAAGCCCCAGAAGTGGCTGCAACATGTTGCAACTGGATTTTGTCGTAATAAGCACCGAGACTTCCCTAGAGAAAGTAGAGTGTGTCATGTGGCTGCTCTGTTTCTTGCTGAAGCTTGGGTGTTGGCTCTAGTTCTGACTGTACAAAAAAAGCTCATGTGAGTGAAGGTCGATATTTCAGTGGCCAGAGTGGCTCCCATGGCCTCGATCACGAGGGGCCAGGGGCCTAGAATTGGACAGGGAGGGGTCGTGGGCGCAGTGGGGTACTACATCTTAACCAGAGACTACGTAGCGCCGCGAGAGTCAACAGAGACCCTCACTCAAAGAAGAGCCTCTTCCCAACAACCTTGTCGGCACTGCTCAGAACAGGCTGCATACCCCGCTCTTCGTCAGCGGCAACCGGTGCGGCAGTTTGCAGGATGCAAGGCTCCCTTCGGTTGACCTCTACAGTGGCCCTCGTTGGCTTCGAAAAATCTTCCATGAGTCGATTTACTTGGAAGAGTTGGAGGGGCCGAAAGCCCAAACCCGAAAGGCTCATCAGATGTCTGGGTACTATAGGGCCAGTAGGGAGCCCAAATACTCCTAGAAGCCCAGAAAGTGCAACAAGCACACCGCCGTGGGATGGAGGTGTCGGGTTTCTTCGGGGTTTTGAGGGAAGCCCATGCTCTCATACAAGCCCTAAGCCCTAAACCCTAAACCCTAAAAAAAGCACAGGGGGGCTTGTTCCGAGCGCCGTGCGGCTCCAACTGTGGCCGAGAGTGCTAGGTCCATAAGCATGGCCCTTAGGGAAGGATGATCCCGGAGTCTACTTTGCATACAGGGTTTAGGGTTTAGGGTTTAGGGTTTAGGGTTTAGGATATCTTTGCATTGAACCCTGGGCTTCGGCCTCCATGCCTTAGTGATTCGTCCACGAATCACATCACGAATCGCATCACAAGGCCCAACCCGACGCAAGAGAGCGAAGCTGCAGACATGCCGGCGGCTCCAAAACTCGCACAGACAACCTCATACTTTCCCCGGATGTAAAAGTAACTGCATTGCAGATACACTTAAAGGCGTGTGCGCCATGCCTCGGCCCAAACTGGCACACATGATCGCCCGGCGCGCGGCCGCGGCCTTGCTGGGCCTCTTCCTGGCCCGGGCCCCAGCCTCCTCGCTGAAGGACTTGAGAAGGGTCGGGATGGGTCGGGTATGTTTCTGACGTTAAACTCACAATCGGCTTAGTTGACAGGGCGTTTTTGACGAGCAGCAGTCGCACCCGGAAGAGAGAGCCAGTCTTCTGAGGTGCATAAAGCTTAGAACCCTAAGACCAAACAATCTGATTCGAGGCCGATGGCGCAAGGTTTTGAGCCATGCGATGTCAAATGCCGTTTGCCCTGAAACCCCCTGAATGAAGAACCCCAAGTCCAAGCTCAAGCAGTTCGACCGGTGATGCCTCACTCGAGCGCGCTTCTCCTGTCTCCCCTTCCCCCTCCTCCCAGTCCCAGTCCTACTCCGCCTCTCCCCGCTCCGCTTCCCTGCCCCCTAAATCAGGCCTCCGGTGTCGGCACCTGCTTCTGCTTCCCGCTCCGCCCGGCGCTCCCCAGCTTCGGGCGAACGCAGGCCCAACGTGCACTCGTAGGCTTCAGGATTCAGGTGAACTTGGGATCTGTTGTTTTCAAAAGCATATCGGATTGTGGGGTGTAGGGCTTCTTGGGCTGCTGATCTGGTTCGGAGTTGGACTTCGGCCTATGGTGCCATGGCCACACAGTGCCATGGTCACGGTCGTTGTCGCACCTACCCGCGCAGAAGGTCTTGACTGCATGCTGCCTCACCCTCATGCTTCGCCACAAGAACCTATGAAGCTGCAGCAGCTTGTGCGAGGTGGGCCCGCTCCCACTGCCACCAGCAACTGCCAAGGCTTTGGGCACGGTTTTTTGTTGCTGCCATGGCTGGGTTTGGGGCATTCTGTCTTGCATCTTGGGGACACGGTCCCTTGACCCTGTGCGCTTGGGCAAGTAGGCAAGTAGCAGTCGTACTAGGTGTAGTGACGTGTGTTTGTAGACCAAAACGCTGCAGTCCTAGCTTGAGAGGTGGGTGAGATGTGAGATCATTCTTTCCGCCCGGATGTCCCGGAGACATTAGACGCCTTCCTCTGTGTGATCCAGGCCCCTACAGCCCTCCAGAATCGCGTGGAGGAGGCCGGCTTCCGCATCTGCAGTCCCAAACATGGGAGGGAACTCAGAGAACTCTGGGCGCATCTGGAGCTTGGAACCAGGAACAGCACCCCTGCGCCCAAGACCTGCCTTTACCTGCAGAATTTTAGCACTAGAAAGGGGTGCCAAACCGCTTCTCCGCCAGGCTGAAGACGTAGAAGTGGCCTCATCGAAGGCGACCATAGTCAGCACTGCCGATTTCTGGCTGCAGATTGGCAGTTGTTGGGAGATTGAGGCGTCAGTGTAGTCGATGGCTCGGCGTAGGCCCGAGCTGTCGCCATGCAGGCTGACTCTGATATCCGAGCCTTGCACTGGCAAAGACTCATCACCAGTGGCCTGTCAAGGTCAGTCTTGCCAAGAGCATGTTGGGAAGTGGAGCCACCTGGGCTGCAGAGAGACAGAGGCTCCCCCTGACTATCAACAGTCTAGGCTGCCTTCTCCCCCGGAATCGGGGGTCGCCCTGGGGGTCGTCCTGGGGAGGTCGCCTTGGGGGTCGTTTGGGGGTCGTTCTGGGGGGTCGCCGTTTCGCCAAATTCTGCCAAAGTCACAACATGTCCAAGAGTTGTCGCATGTTGTCGCTGACTCTGGACGCTTTGGTTGACACATCCGCTCCTGACTGGTGTCAGTTGTCCAATTACGTTTACCCTGAAGCTTCGTGATGCTCAACGTGCTTTTAAGAGAAGTTGCGTGATCTTGGTTCAAACCACAAGAGCGTCATACATTATGTGAATCCAAAGACTCTTAGAATTGTGTTTGGGAGAAGGCGTGGGACGACAGCAACGCTTGCATGCACTCCGAGCCCGAGTGCTGCTCTGAGCTCGGGCTCATCTGCACCAAGGCGTAGGGCCTGCGAAGAGCCCTGCCCTTCTTTCGGCAGTTGGCCTTGCAGCACTACTCCGCTGGAGTGCAGCCCCACGTGCGCATCCGTGGGCAACCGCCTTTGAACCGCTCCAGCTTGCACCGTTCCACATTCGTGCCTTCGACCTCATCCATCAGTGGTTTTGCCAGTGTACAGCCCGACATATCTCTTCAACCGCCATGACCAACCCTCCCATTTCTCCAGTTCACCGTGGTAAACCGGTGGAGGAAACAGGTTAATTTTCCTTCTCCCTTTCTTTCTCCTGAACCCAGAGCCACGACTCCGCTACCATGCAAAATTCAAGGGAACAGTCTAAACTGTTAGAGCACCTAGACCAGTGTATTTCACCAATCTCACAGCAGGGCAGACATTCCTTTGTGCGACCAAGCAGTTGTGCTGAAACAGACAGGGGCATGATCGTGATGACTTTTGGATTGTGTGTTGGGTGCCCTCCGATTGATGCTGGCTCGACCGCTTGGTTTTGTTGAAGGCAGGGTGGCAGGACCTGTATGGTTCCTTCGTTTGGCAGCCCAAGACCACAGCAATTCCTGCGAGGGGCGTTGCGTCTGGATCGCAACCTTAGGATGTTCAATGCGACGATCTACAGGGCTTCGGTACAAAGAGTGTTGTTTGGGGCGGGGGTCCAGGTCCTGTCCCTGTCCGCCGGCGTGGCGGCATTCACCAACACGTCCCAAGGGCTGCTGGTGGCCACCGCCATCATCCTGGGAATGACCCTGTGCGGCCCTTAGGGATTAGGGTTTAGGGTTTAGGGTTTAGGGTTCGAGGCTATCCCAGAACTTGCAAATCACGACCATCCTGACTCTCCAACGCGCGAAGCTAGTATTGACCGCTCCAGATAGGGGGTCAGATTCTGACTAAGGCTGTGCGCCTATACCTTCCAGATGGTGGCCGAGATCAGCGCAGCTGCTGAGCTGAAGAACATGGGCTGTTTGACTGACACACACACACACACACTCACTCACTCGCATTCACACTCACACGCGCATGGTGCTGGCAGAGAGTCCAAGGATACCGGCACGGATGACTTGGGGGCAACCTGGAAAACCAGCCTCTCGCCTGCCAAAGGACTCGTGAACAGGACCTTGGAGAGCCGGATAGGATCTTAGGCTTGAATGGGCCCTTCGAAGGCAACGAATCCAGGGCTCTCAGATGCGTGTCTCACTTGATTCAGCTGAAGAACTTGCCACTAAAGAACTCGCTTCTTTAAAGGTTTGACCAGGGTGCCCGCAGGGTCAAGCCAGGGTCATCATTCCTCGTACTCGTACTTGTAGCAACTTGGTTGGGCCCGTCCTCCAAATATCCCAACTCAGTCCTGCTGTGCCACGGGGCAGAGTGGAGCCAAAATCAGCTTCCGATGTGCCAAGGCTTTGGAAAATGGGCGTTCCTTCCACGGCTGGCAGTGGGCCACTTGGGCTTGCGTTAGTTCGAGAGCTAAGCGATTCTCAAAATCCTGCCGTGTAGAAGTTTAGGCTTCAACTGCCTTTGGCCCTGAAGCACAAGGCACCCTCTCCGGCATCACTTGCACCGTCTACGCAGATGCCTCAGATGGTAAAGCAGTTGATACCTTGTAGACGAGAAGAGCTTCGGGCGTAGGGTCGTCAGGCCTGTCTGCGTGTGGGAGTGTGGAATTTGTCTTCTTAGGGTGAGTTTTCAGGGCTACAGCTTGGTGACTCAACATGCTCTAAACACTACAGTACATAACGCTCCGGATGGGAAGGTTTGACTTAAAGGTTAAACTTAGAAATTGCCCTTGCTTGAGTGGCATCGTGTGGGGCTTGAAGCGTAATTAGAGCGGGCTTCTTGGCTTCTGGGATCTGGTGACTCGGTCCTTCCCTTGACTTCTGCCAGGGAAGCATTACCTGGCCATGCCTTTGCATCCTCCACCAGGGCTCCCCAGAATGCGCTTAGGCGCTTGAGAGTTGAACATCTCCCCCCCCAAAAACCCCTCCCCTGGCTGGGAAGTGCTTGGGGGTCTCTCCGACAACACAGGTAGCCTTTGTGTGGGGATCCTAAAATAAGTATTGTGGTATGTTTGGGGGTGTTTTCGGGGTACCCCCCCTATGTTATGGTAGTACGTTAGGGGGTATTTTCGGGGTACCCCCCTATTGAGGGCCGTAGCCGAGGCCATGATCTTGGGGGACCTCCTCTCGGAGTTTGCGCTGTCCTTCGTGGGCACGATCCCCTCCCTAGGCGCTGCAGAGACCTGCCAAAGCGCCCCTAAACCCTAAACCCTAAACCCTAAACCTCCAGAACTTGGCAGCCCCAAGCATCTGCCGTAACCAGGGTTCCCGAAAGCTGTTCGACTGCAGCCGCTGCTACAGGTGCACTCAAGGCGTACTGCACCCGTGCTC